ACAGACAGACAAGAAAACTTAAGCATCTAAATGTTCTGCCACTATTGAATATATTGTCTGGCACTAAAAATTGAAATGTCACCAAGGACGTAAATACAGCTGAAGTTACACTCATGCTCTTTTGCCACCTGTTTGTTTTGATAATAACCTACATGAAGTAGTTCAAGTTCAAAATTTATAGAAATCTGAAAATTCGAGTTGAAGGCGAGTATTTTGGGTATACTTTCAAATAGATAAAACTAAGTTGATTAAGTTCCTGTGGTATTGAGGACGATTTTTCTCCAAATTCAGCCAAATTATTAATCCTCCGTCCTCTACGTCCCAGGTCCAATCTGTCAACGCTCCGCACAGTTTCTTCGTCTTTTTAAACGTGACGAACGGTATTTTATCCTCTACTCCGAACTGAACTGTATCCACGCAACCCTGCTCTCCTCCCCCCCTGAGATACATATCCTCTATGTAAACCATGAGCCCGTGGTTCAAGGGCGCACTGAGGTGCATAGTGCACTTTCTTGGCAGTGTCTGCTCCTCTCTTCCATCTGAAATAATAAAAATATGAATTTAAAATCAAAATGGACACTTTAAAATGAAAATGTTGTGAAGCATATTTCTATTTATTATCGATATGACTGGTTGGTCTATGTTCATTCTTGGTAATTATGCAAAGAAGAAACGCTGTTTGGTTAAATGATATAATAATTAGAACACTTTAAAGTGCAAATGTTTAGTTTAATATGAATTAATCCTGTTAATTGTCTTCAACCGTCTTGACTGATAAGTGTCAAAAATTTTGTAACAACAAAGAAATTCACATATTTAGAAACTGAGTAAAAGGAATTGAGTCTTTGCCACCAACTCTGATTTTCTAATCCCTATATCTCGGGATTCCAATGTCGTAGACCTGTTACATTTCAAACTTTGACTTCTGTTAGATCAAATAATATAAGTTTGAAATATCTAAGGTTTACGACATTGGGTTCCAAAGATATAGGTATTTAAAAATCAAAGTTTGTGGCAAAGTCTCAACTCCTTTCCTGCAATAATCAAGATAAATGAACAAATAAATAATCGTCAAGAAATTAACTGGTATGACAAGCTTTACCTAGGTACAAGGAGAGGTATGTATCCGTGATGTTTATCTGTTGACTACCAGACAAAGGACAGATATCTGGGTGAGCTAGGTTCAGCAGATCCTGAGCTAAAACCAAACCCTGGAGAAGCAAGATACAATTAACACTCCAAACCCTGAGCATGTTCCTCAGCAGGGAGCTTAGTCCTGTCTTGGTTCCACGAGTTTATTAATACGAAGGTATAACTGGATAAAGTTTTCATCAGAGTTCACATAATTTCACGTTTTGGTTCCGAACCAGGTTTTCATCCAGGGTTTATCTCCGGGTCCTGGAAGAGCACCAGATCCGGATACCCACATTCTGAATGTGTTGCATCTACATTATACACGGATTATGCAGGATATATTTGAACAACATATTTGTCTATACAGGATACAGGATACAGGATACAGTACAGACTAGGGATGGGAGCTGAACTAGGCTGAGGATAAAGCTTTCTCCGCTTTCCTTCCTGTCCCGGGGAACTAGATAGAACTTTGTTCTGGTTTACAGGAGACAAATAATCCTGGCACAAACTCATCCAGAGCCAAACCTGGTTCTTTGTTCATCTAATATTAGCATATAGAGATGCTTAATCTTAGAGTTTAAACCTCTTGTCCAATACAATATAAACGATGGTTCAATCAGCTCAGGGTTCTATCTGTCGGTGTGTTCCAATGAATTTGTTTCCGGATTTAGTTTCTGATATTGATAATTTCAAATTTCACAATCTCATATGTAAAACAATAACCATATGATTATTAAAGTGGTTAAAGTGTAAATAGGTTTAATTACAGAGAAGATTAAAAAACAATTATGATAATCTACAATATTTGTGGCTTATTTTAGAATAAAACCATGCAACGCTGTCAAGGGACAGTTAATCATTAGAAAATTAGTTCTGACGCCTGATGATGAAAAAGTTTTAAATTATTAAAACAATTTATTTCCTGCTGCAGACAGATTTGATGTGAATTGATGTGAGTTTGAGAAATTCTCCAGGGTTGAGAGAGAAGTTAGAAAGGATTAGATTGAACCTGGTTCAAGACTAATTGCTCCGTGACGCGACTGAAAATCAATTTCCAGGATAAGTATAGAGCATAGAGCTATATCTTATCTATATCATCAATCTTCTTGTTCTTATTGTTAAATAATTTAACTTCATCACCTTTATAATACAGAGGTTAAAAGAGAAAAGGATCAAAAAAGGCGAAGAAAAATTATGAACAATTCAATTGTGAACGGAATAATTTGATTTTATGATTAAAATTGAGTTCTAATCTTTGTTGAAAGAGAAATGAATTTTAAAATGCTACACGTTTTAAATATGAAGGAGAATAGAAGCTGATTTTATTTGAGTTGTATAAATCTTCCTCATGTCTCATGTTTCAAAGAAACTGTATCTTAATATGCATGATATAATACTTGATATAATACTTGGTTTTGTAAGAGCTTTAAATACTTATTCAATATATAGTACTAATTTATAAATAAAAAAAGGTAAACGTGAGAACACATTAATCGTGATTGTAAAATTATTTAATGTAATCCTTTGAACCTGTATTTGAACCCTTGAACATGGGATTGAAAACTCCAGTAATAAGAAGAGGAAGGGATGGGATAGGAGGAGAAGAATGATAAGGTTCGGGATTATCCGGGTTGTATTTGTATACAGAGGAACTCCAACTCATGGTAATTATCCCAGATTCCTGTATCCTGGAGATTATCCTCCGTAACACTAGTTAAACCTATAACCCGGAGCACAACCAGGATACAAGGGAACCCAGGCTTATATTTCAATACAGCGGAACAAGATTTTTACCCTTATTACGTTGAAACTGCGCGAGGAACAGAGAAAAACTTGAAATCTTTCCAATTTCGACAAGCATTTACAGGCATTAAATAGTGAGGAACAATGGAGCTAGGTCCATTAAGAGAGAATATATTAGCGTCTAAACATGATTTAAACCTGAGTAGATTTTACTAATGAGAAGTTTGTTTCTGCTAATTAAACAGATTTTGCTTATTTATTCCTGAGTACAGTAATGCACAATGTACAATGTAATTGACAACTTTACACTTTACACGTTACACTTTACATTTTACACTTTACATTTTTAAACTTTAAGCTTTTCACGTTACACCTTACACTTTACACTTTACACTTTACACTTTACACTTTACACTTTACACGTTACACGTTACACGTTACACGTTACACGTTGCACTTTACACTTTACACTTTACACTTTAAACTTTAAACTTTAAACTGTAAACTTTCCAGTTTCAAGTTTCAGTTGTTAATTGTAAATGTAAATTGTATACTTAAGCTGTACGTATAGACTTATTTCAGTTCAACATTATTGTACACTGTACGCTGTACAGGGTTGCTCACAAAGGATGAGACTTCAGAGATGACTGAACGGAATTTATTCCTGATTGCTTACAGCTTTGCAAATATTCCTGATTGCTTATAGCTTTGCAAATATTCCTGATTGCTTACAGCTTTGCAAATATTCCTGATTGCTTACAGCTTTGCAAATATTTTTTTCCTTTCCAAATTAAATATTTACCAACAAAAGATTTCAGGCGGAATTAACCGTCAGATCGCTATAATCGAGTTTCAGGTCGTCTTTAAAATATCATCCTTTTTGTTTTATTAACACAAATTACTGTACAGTGTACAATGTGTACATAAAATGAACTGTTTTTGTTTCTTTACATGCAAATGTTCATGTACATTGTATAAAGCAAGGTACTAATACAAGGAAAGTTAATTGCGGTCGCGTATAATCTGCGTACATATTGAAACCAGTTCTCTCTGGGCGGAATTTGTATACAAGAATAGATGCATAAGTGTTCGGCTAGTATCTTTTCCGCCCAAAGACAGTACACCGCAGTACAAAAAATGCGTACACCTCTAAAATAACTTTCCTTTCATTAGTACCTTGGTATAGCGAAAACTGTTTATATGTGTGTACAGTTTATATCAATACACGGATGTGATAAAATTGTAGATTGCGGCCAAATCATTCAACTTTTTATATTTCAAGACACGCCTTGATCTAAACCCAACCTTTTCTTATCCTTCTTCCAGCTAAGGTTTAACCCCATTTGATCTATTCCGTCTAAATATTGAGCTCATGCATTCCTCTCCGTCCTAGTATTATAGATGCGTTTAAGGTGTTGTTTGGTCGATTTTGCAAAGCTGGCAAGGCTCATTGATTTCCTGTATTTTAATACTTAAACGGAGATCCATAAAACTGAGAAATAGGAGTTCGCTATTTAAGCAACCCTATGAGTAGTTGATGCTATTATAAAGCAAATAGTTGCTTTTATAAAGCAAATAGTTTCACCAGAGCAGAAAACTTTAGAATTGTGGAAATGAAGATCAATGCCTGATTATTATAATCAAATTCCAAAGGTTTCAGCTCAGTTGCTTGAAACCCAACTTATTAGTCGAACTGGTTCTGCGTTCACTGAACTTTATGTTCAATGAACTATGTAAAATGACATAACTTGAGTCAAACAGTCGTCTTCCTATTCCACAGCTGTTAATGGGTCTCACTTAACCTTATTTTAGTAAATACAATTTCCCTCGTTACTAAATGAGCAACACCGACAGATATTAATAAAAGTGAAAGATGTAAAGTTATTCAGGAACAAAGGTTTCTCTGCATGGAGTTTGAGTAAGCCATTTTTAAAGTTGTGAATACAATCCCNCAAAACAAAAATAGAGGGGGGGCTATTGTTTGCAGAATGAAGATGTATGAAGGTCAATCCTTGAGAGTTCTTGGAATTCAGTGAAATAGAAGCAGGACGTACAGTGAGCATATCAGGGGACATACTTGACAACAAGGCCGTACAGTGGGCATATCTGGGGACATACTTGATAACAAGGCCGTACAGTGAGTATACCAGGGGACATACTTGACAACAAGGACGTACAGTGAGTATATCAGGAAATATATATGTCAACTAGGGATGTAGAAATTAAAGGGACAGGATACTGTGTCCCCCCTGAAAACGACAGTTAAAAGGTCGTTTTCGATCTTTAAAATATTTTGTAGTGTTCATTCTTTAACCTTTTTTACTAGATTATTAAGTTTTCAAATCAAATTAATCCTTAAAACAATAATAAAAAATAAAAATTATTTTTGATGTTGAAAAAGTTGTTAAATTGTTTAAATTAAAAAGAATATTATTAAAAAAGATATTGGGAAGTAATAAAATAAGAAAGGAGAAAGATGCATTTGAAAGAATATGATAAGATAGAAGATAAAGCTAATAAACATTGTTTTATATATATTTTGACTAAAAATATTAAAGCTGAGTGGATATAAAGATAAAAATGTACAATTAATAAAAAATCAAACATGTCTTTTCATGTGTAGGGACAAGTGATCACTTCTTGCAAATGTTCGTTCACAAAGATGACATTTAAACGGTTTCATCCCAGTATGTTTTCTGTGATGTCTGGTTAGTTCATCAGATCTTGCAAACTTCCAATCACATCCGTCCCAGTTACAGGAGTAAGGTTTCTCACCAGTATGTGTTCTCTTGTGAGCTTTAAGATGAGAGCTCTTTGTGTAAACCTGAAAAAAAAGAAATTATGAAATCAAGCTTTATAAAGATTTCCCATTTGATGTAATTAATATGGCTTACTTAGTTTGCATGACAATATCACGATGGATTGATAGTTAAACGGTAAAAGACGCTATTCAACCGACGTTAATAGAATCTAAATTGGTGTTTACTCCCAACCTAACTTTTAGATTTATTTTAGTAGCAAAAAATGAGCAGTAAAAAAGTCCGGATGTAATGAGGTTTTAGCGCATTTATCCTCTTATCAGATGAAGGCAAAGATCTTACCCCGGTCAAAAGTCAAATCAATTTGATTGGAAAATATCTAGTTTCAATCTAGTCTTAGTTCTTAGATATACACGGTACATAATCATGTACTGATATAGTTTCAATCTAGTCTTAGTTCTTAGATATACACGGTACATAATCATGTACTGATATAGTTTTAATCTAGTCTTATCTCTTAGATATACACGGTACATAATCATGTACTGATATAGTTTCAATCTAGTCTTAGTTCTTATATATAAACGGTACATAATCATGTACTGATATAGTTTCAATCTAACAAGAAGCCCCTTAGTACCGTAATGTTTGCTGTTAACAGTACAGCTATTGTTTTCTTAATTAGAAATATATTTAATAAGAAATAAAACTGATTTTTTTCAAACGTTTTCTATTTTCCACAATATAATTTGAATATTTGGGACATGCAAGGAAATCTCGACACAAACTAGAAACTCAAGTAAGAGATTAAGCTAGCTCATTACTAGTTGAAATCAACAATTATAAAAGAATAAAAAATGAATATACTAACAATAGCAATGAATTATGAATCCTTGAATCATATCTTAAATCATTGATTTGTATTGTATATGTTTTCCTTTTGTCTCCGATTAACGTATAAAGGCTAAACCAATGCGTGGGCAAAGGTGGTTTTCAGAACAATTAAAATTTAAAACTGTATTGCATTTTGTCAATAGGTTCTCAAATAAAAAAGTGATATTTGCGAATTATAGTTCTTAATGTTTGCTGATCATGATCGCAAAATAAAAATCCATCTGATAGTCTCTAGATTAATATATATATTATATATTTCTTTGTGTTGTAAAAAATAATTATTCCTGTTAAATAAAAACTCTTTATTTTCTCATTAATTTAAAAAGTTTTTTATCTGTATATTAGTTTCAAGCATAATTTATAATTAAACAAAGAAGATGGATAAAATTTAAATGTGTTGAAATAAGAAATTGATCAGATTAGAAAATGTTAGAAGATTGAGAGGATGGGGCGTGACTGGTTTTTATCTATTTTCAATGCTGTTTCTATTTCTAGATCAAAGATTAAATATAGAACAGATAAATCGGGAAATTAGATGAAATTCTTATTTCTATTTAAGACTATTATTTTGTTAAAGTTTATAGGGTCCGTCTACGTAATTTAAAATAACTCTGTATGCCAAATTTACAAAGTTTTAAATCACTAGCCTTAGAGGGCGCTTCGCGCCCATCTTCTAAATTAATTGTGAACATGTTCTCTTTGTGTACATCGTAAAGCAAAACAAAAATAATTCGCGGATTTTCACAAAAAATTTCGTGGATTTTCAAAATTTTTAAAAATTTAATGACGATTGAATTTTGATGGGGACAAATATTTGAAATTTTGATTTTTCATAAACCTTCCCTGGGGTCCCTAGATGTCCCACAAAAAATTTGGGCCCGATCGGTTCAGCCGTTTTGACGTTTATTGGATACAAACAGACAGACAAACAAACAAACAGACAGACAAGCCAAATTTATATATAGATGTCATAAAATTGATATTTTAAATTGCGGATTTTCTGTTAAAATGGCAAACGGACTTTTCCAGCAGAGGTGGGTTAGGCAAATGACAGGATAATCTCTGGCAAAAAGAAAAATTGAGGTTTCTACTTCAATATTTCATAGATATAGCTAAAGAGCTCATGGGTTTCGTTGTAAATTGGGCAAGTGACTTTTTCAAAGTTTAACTTCAAAATTACGTTAACAACCCCTTTGAGAAGGTTTTAAGAATTTTTTTCTCTGTTACAGATCAAAAAATAATATTGTTAGTTATTTGAATTTTATACATTTGAAAGTAACGTCAGCTCAGGATCAAAATGAGGTTTTTGTCATTGTGATTTTCATTTGTCTTTTAAATTGCTTCCTACGGAGAAAGTCGAAGAAACAAAATAATTTTGAAATCTTGCTTTCATACACTTCATACCTTTAGTGGTTTTAAATCGAGATGAAAAACTATTAAACCCTGAATCTCACCTTATCACAGCCAGGTTCATCACATTTATGATTTCTCCTGTTTGAGTTTGTGACTAGAGGGAAGGAGGAATTATTCATATGAGCTGGTAGAGGTCGTCTTCCTGTTAGAACAGCAGCTGTTTCTTGTAACCTAGCTAGACACAGCAGGTTTAAAGCAGCAATGTCCAGCTGTATCTGCTGGGGGGACAACTGCGGAGGAGATGAAACCATATATTTCTCCTGGTTCTCCTCGTCCCGGAGTTTAGGAACCGTCAGGTTCATCGCAGACACGGAGTTGTTGTTATTATCCTCAATTTCCATTCGAGAATGTTCCCGAAGAATCTTATTTACATCAGAGCTCTCAGAACCGTGTGACTTTATACTCAGATCGAGCGCCATCTTATTTTTTATGTTTTGTTTTATTTTACTTTGAAATCATATCCATATGAAGTTTGCCTGGTTGCTCCAGGATTGATTGATGAAACTGAACTGGATAACCGCACCCCGCCAACTGTTCTCAGCGCATCCCAACCCGCCTCTAGATCATCTTCATATGTCGGTATTTCCTGGTGTGGGAAAGTAAGGTTGGAGCGGGGTCGGGTTCTCCCCGCCTTGCTCTGCCCTGCTTCAGTTCCATCCATACAAGGACACTAGCTCGCGCGCAGGGATGGGAGAGGCGCTGGGATGCGCAACCTTCTTTCTCCGGAGCATGAATTAGATCGAACCTTCAGGTGGAAATGATATTGAATACCCCTAGCTCCAGGCCGGACTAGAAACAGTAACCTTCTCTGTAAACATATTTCTACTCTACACACATGGAAGAGTTCTAGTAATTAGTTTATCTCACACCTGGTTCCTATACCGTTCAATACCTCACCGAGATATTTGCATGGGGAATTCATGGGGGGGATATTTCATGGTGAACTCAGTATCAAATAATTTTTAATAGGTTGTACCAAGATTATATTATTGTGTTGAAAAGTCCTGAGAACCTTTTATCCACCTTCAATATTACAATGTACAGGTTTCTTCTTTGCATCATTATGTACCCTACTTTGAACCTTCACAACTCTGTACCCTACTTTGAACCTTCACAACTCTGTACCCTACTTTGAACCTTCAAAACTCTGTACCCTACTTTGAACCTTCACAACTCTGTACCATTTTCTGTACACTAGTACTGTTTTTCGTCAGGTGTAAGTTCCCTCTTTTTAATCATATTGTACACTGTACTTTATTATGTTCTGTAGTTGTACACTGTAAGTTCTCTTGCATAAACTGTGACTGTTCACTGTACAGTTTCCTACATAACCATTGCAAAGTTCCATAACTACCATCATTATTTTTACACTGTACAGTTCAATACCTTAAACCTGCCTTTAACCATTCGTTACTTTGTACAGTTTCCCATATTTTCTTCTTTATGTATAGTGTACATATACTCTGCCTTAAGTCATTCTGTAAAATGAAATGTGTCCAGAGCTGAAAACTTTTGAATGGGATATCCTTAATCCTGATCGGATAATCAATCTGGAGATTAAAAATGAGAGGAGAACAAGCAATATTTAATCTGGAGATTAAGAAGAGTGGATTAAGCATTAATCCCGATATCCATCATTCTAAAGTTTTCAGCTCAGTTGTCTTCCTTAAACTATAGTACAATGTATAATTATCTACTTTAGACCTAGTTCAGTAGAGTGTAAACATGATGTTTCCCAGGGATAAAATAAAATCAAGAACCTTGAACCGTGTGCAAAATATATGTTCACACTTTTTCAGGAAAAATACAAATAATAATTAATATCTTTGAGGAAATAAAAGAAATAATAGCAATAATAGAAATTATAGTAATTGTATTGCAAAGAATCTCATTTATTTTTCTCAAACACGTTCAGAAAGTATCCATCATCAGCTTTAGTGTCATCCCTGAGAGATTTTGGAACTATGTGAGAGAAATCATCAATTCTTCTCACATGTCTGTATTATTACACACATGGATAATTGACAAATTATTTAGGATTGGTGACAGTTATGAAAACTGTTCGACCTTTATTATTACAAACAAACAAATAGCTTTGTGATTACAAATTCTGGAAATATTGACAATATTTCAGTTTTTTCTCTATTATTATGTAATGTGACTTTCTATCCCAATTAAATACCACACAACTTTCCATTGTTTATATTGAACCATCCAGCCATGTTTATATTTATCTAACATAGACCACCCCCTTCCTCCATTTAACCCTTCGCTAGCATCACATTTTCAATCCTAGCAAAAACTACCATACCCCTCCCCCCAGCATTCCTACCCTTAAACCCCCTCCCAAACCGCTCTGTCATGTTATCAGTGAAATAGTTTTCTTCTAAAGCTTGAAGATATTTCTCCCAGTTTCTGGTAAGAATGAAGATCAGATAAGATGTAAGCGTGGCAGGGTGTAACGTTGTGTGACGTTGTGTGTGGCACCCACACACTATACAATCCTATAATCTAATCTCACACAAACCATTGTCTGCAGGTCAAAATATTTATCTGAGGGACAAGTGTCATGATCATAGAAACGACAGATGTTGAGAAGAATCAGATCTGCAAGTAATATTCTCCAATATAGCACGGTTCAATTCAAACTTCCTCTTTCTCATCCTTCCTCATTTCGTACACAATCTGGACTGTAAACATANCACACTGTACACTATACAGTGAATATGATAAATGCTATAAACATACCTAAGTATAGGGCCCCAAAGCAAAGAATGTATCGAGCTTTTGCTTGGTAACAAGAAACAAAATTAAACAGAATAAAACTCGTATTCTAGTATACAAAACAATTATTTCGTTTTGTAGTTCACTATCTAATCTAAAAAGATATTTTTATGACAATTTTTAGGAAGTTTTATTGAAGACCCGAAATAGGATTGCTAATTGCGCAATTTCAAGAATCAAGAAAATTCATTATTATTTGTCCGAGGTTTCTGGGAGATTTGCCAGCTTTGCTAGAAAGCTGGGTTACCCCCCGCAATCTTCGAAACAGTTCAATCCTACCATCTCGTCAGTACGGAGCAAACATGCCCTGGACGAACCCTAACCCTTCTCCCATCTGTCCAACCTGCTCTAGGTCGGTGTTCCCAGCGGAGGCGTACATGGCGTCGGACAGACGTCCTCATCACAAACAATGCGTCAAATGCGTTCACTGCAGTAAACGTCTCTCTGCGTCTACACTGAATGAGCATGCAGGGAAACTGTATTGTAATCTTTGTTATACAAACATGTTCATGCCACAGGTACAAAATAACAATGTATCAGGATATTAATGGACAAAAATTTTAGAAAAGTTTAGGGCGCTATCTTTTTTTCAACCTTTTTTTTTAGCTCATCCGTTTTGAAGTTTTTAAATACAAACTGACAGACATGACAGACAAGTAAAATCTATATATATAGAGATAACAGAGTACTAATATTACTAAAATATTGCTGAAGTTCTATGCTACTTTAAGACATATCTACACTAAATAACAATCAAAAGAAATGATTACCCTGCTTTAATGCTAATTATCCCTAAATCTTTGCTACCTGATGGTACAAACCTTTAAAGAAACTTCGTCTTTGTCACAAACTCATATGTTCTAATTCATGTATATTTGCAACCTGATGGTGCAAACCTTTGATATTTTAAACTTAGATTATTTGATATAACAGAATTAATAGTTTGAAATATCTATGGTCAACCACATTGGGTTGCAAAGATATTGGGATTAAAAAATCAAAGTGTGTGGCAAAAACTCAATTCCTTTTCAAACTTATTGGATGATTTGACGTAGTGGAATTTGCAGTTTACAATATAAAAGGTATTCAGCATCAGGCTGCAAAGATATAAGAATTATTAGAGAAAATTAGAGTTTTATGTGATATATCGAAGAGTATCAACAATATATTAAAAGTTAGGAAAATTCTTTAAAATGATGTTTTCAAGGAAAATTAAGAAGTGCAGTTAGGAATTAGGAAAATTAAGAAGTGCAGTTAGGAATTAGGAAAATCATTATAGTCTAATAATTTTATTGATTTACATAAATAACTCATAAGTGATCAATACTAGACTGATTTTTCAGATGAATCATGAAAAATGTTAGGAATTTTAATCTGCATAGTCTGATATTAAAAAAAATCAAATATATTTTACAAAATTTTTAAGAATTTTAGCTGTTCACCAATGCACTTCAAGCTGCCATTTTTTTTGTAACTCATATTTCGAGGATATAACTGTTTAAATTTGCGAATTGAAAAAATAATAAATATATAAACCGGACTGATTTGCCACGAAAAATGAATTGAGTCTTGCCACAAACTCTGATTTTCTAATTTCTCTATCTTTGGAACCCTATGTTGATGACCATAGATATTTTAAAATATGATTTCTATTAGATTAAATAATCTAAGTTTGAAATATCAATGGTATACACCATCAGGCTGCAAAGATATAGGGATAAGAAAATTCTAGTTTGTGACGAAGACTCAACTCCTTCGGGTCCGATTGGTTCAGCCGTGTTGACGTTTATTGAATACAAACAAACAAAAAAGTCAAATGAATATGAGTCTTTGTATATAAACTGAGTTGCACTATTTTTACTTTGAAATTAATTGCGGAAAAAAATGATATTTAAGATCAGGTTTCGGAATAAAATTTTCTTATTTTAGGAAAATAATATTGAGGAGCGGGTTGTGATGCAAGTTCTCCCGGTGGGAGGAATATACACAGCCCTGGAGGAGGAGAAGAGGAGGGCGGAGGAGGAGAGGAGAAGGAAGGAGATGGAGGAGAGAGCAAGAAAGGAAGGAGGATGTCCGTCCTGTTGTACAATGGTAGGTTGAGTATTTATCCTTGATAAGGATCAGTTTGATGTTGCTCCGATTGCACGGTCACAGTTATTGTCAGGACGAAGGAATCTCACTGTTCCGATTTCTTTGTGTATCTTTAGAAAACTAGAAAAGGAGAAAACATGAACATCTCATTTTTTTTTCTCAACAATGAAAACTCAATTCTTTGCTCCGGTTTATTCTCGTTTTTGTCCAATTTTTCATAAAAAAAATCTCATTAAAATGGAATCTTTTTTAGATATTTCAAATCTTTAAGATATTTTCACATATTTTCAAATAATCTTATTTCCCCACCAGGAATTTAGAATATTTCCGGTGGAAAAATCATTTAGACATATCAACCGTGTATAGTTATTTAGATAGATAATACTGATTAATTCTTTTTAAGAGGACTGATTACTCTTTGAACTCTGATTTTGTCATCCTTTATCTTTGCAACCTGGGACTAGATTTAATAAAAAGGAGAATTAGTTGAACCAAATGCTGACGGTTCAACCATGTCCACTCGTGCACCGGGAAAACCTAAAGAAAAGTGATTCAATTAAGTCTACCGCAGTTCAACTACTACTCCTATTTGTTACATCTGACTATAGAATCTGCTAGATAAATTGCAAAGATTTACACCATTACACATTAGGGTGAAAACATTAACGTATTAGAAAATTTGTGTTGTGAGCAATTGTTTTGATTGTAGCTGTACTGCACTGCACACTGTACACTATACAGTGAATATGATAAATGCTATAAACATACCTAAGTATAGGGCCCCAAAGCAAAGAATGTATCTGTAATATAATAATCATATATATGTATCATGATCTCATAAATAAATGTCCAGTTGCTTCCTCTATACTCCTGACTCTGTAATTAAACAAATCATAACTTAAAACAGGAAAAGACCATGAACAAAACAGAAAAAATCAGGAAAATGTTATGAAGTACTGCAGGAAATGATCAGGAAGAAAACAGAAAAAGATCATGAACTATATAAAAGGAAAAGATAAAGAATATATCGAAAGCTAAAACAGGAAAATATTATGATCTTAAACAGGAAAATATCATGAAATAAAACAGTAACTGATCAAGAATAAATTAGAAAAAAAACATGAAATAAAACAGGAACAGATCAAGAATAAAACAGGAAATGATAAGGAGCATTGCAGAAAGTATAAAACATTTTTCTAATATTTCAATATTTTTTCACAGACCACATTCTAGAACAATCATAATTTGCAAAATATTTGTTTGATTATTTCGGCATTTGTTGATAACAAATATTAAAATCAAATATTTAACTTTATTTCAATTTTAATGGGACGTTGTTAAAATATTATATTTCAAAATTAAATGTCTTTTTCTCAAAACGATTTAGAGTATTTTTTAAACCTAAACGTCAATTAAACTGGCGACAGCTGAGAGACTCAATTTGACATGGCGATAAGAGTTCAATAAGTTCTTTATCAAGATGTATTTAGTTTCGTATATAATCTATAGATATATATATAATCTAAATGGTAGATAAAACTTGAATATTTAGACGACCGAGGATGATTCTGTAGCTCTCTCCGGGGTTCGATATCATAAGAAGTGTCTCCGATGCTCTCGGTGCTCCAAGCCTGAAGACGAATCCGTCCCTATGCTTCTAGGACCTAAAGACACAACCAATGTTTTCGGAGAGGAGGAGTTAGAACCATACTGTAACTTTTGCTTTGCTAAAAAATTCAAAATGTCGGCCATAAAGATTGCAGAAACTGTAGCTATTGATACAGGTTATAGTCTATAGGCACGGGATTCATGAATATGATATAGTATACAGTCTGAATATATCCATGTATACTTAGTATAGAGACTACTCTTTTATACAAGGATACAGACTACCCCTTGCATACAAGCATATACAGACTACTCCTGTATACAAGGATACAGACTACTTCTGTATACCAGCATACAGACTATTCCTGTATACTAGGATAAAGACTACTCCTGTATACAAGGAAAAAGACTACTCCTGTCTGTATACAAGGATACATACTACTCCTGTATCCTTGTATACATACTACTCCTGCATACAAGGATACAGACTAATCCTGTCTACTACGATAAAGACTAATCCTGTATATAAGAATACAGTCTACTCCCGTATGAAAGGATACAGACTACTCCTTTCTGTTTACTAGGATACAGAGTACTTCTGTATACAAGGAAACAGACTACTACTTTATACAAGGATACAGGGTTCTTCTGTATACAAGGATTCAGACTACTCCTGTATACAAGGATACAGGCTACTCCTGTATAAAAGGATACAGACTACTCATCCTGTATACAAGGATACAGACTACTCCAGTATAAAAGGATACAGACTACTCCTGTATACAAGGATACAGACTACTCCTGTATAAAAGGATAAAGACTACTCCTGTATACAAGGATACAGACTACTTCTGTATACAAGGATACAGATTACTCCTGTATACGAGGATACAGACTACTCCTGTATATAAGGATAGAGACTACTTCTGCATATGAGGATACAGACTACTCATGTATACAAGGATACAGACTACTTCTGTATACAAAGATAGAGACTACTTCTGCATATAAGGATACAGGCTACTCTTGTGTCCAAGGATAAAGTTTGCTCCACTCTGTTCCTCGATGTATTATATTCCTAAGAATCTGGCAGCTGCCTACAACATGTAAACTGTAAAGATCATGAAAGTCTCATATAATTCTTATCTTTATTCGTCCATGTAATGTTTATTTTCATAAAAATTGTCACACGTCATACCTTAAATATATTTATATACCATACACGATGTACGTGTAAACACGTGTGATGGGGAGTTGGAGGGAGGAGGTGAAGGGGGGAGGAGGTAGAGGAAGGTGGAGGGGGGAGGAGAAGGAGAGAGGAAGGGATAAAGTTTACTGAAGTACAATTGCGTGCAAATAGTTATTATATACATATGCATGTATGCATCGAATTTATGTTTAAGAATGAGTATGCTTATTGTCTTCTTGGTAATTAAATATAAACAAGGAATACATGTTTACTGCTAAACATAAATTAAGAGTTAATTTAAACGCGTTGAAATTACTTTACCTAGGAAACATACTTTTATCAATAAATACAGGTGTTAATTAAAAGGACTGCGTAATTTCAAGTGACCCTCTAGGCATGCCAATGCTCTCTTCAAAACTGTATCTTTTAAAGCTTTGTCCGATCAAGCATGAATTAGATACCAACGTTTTACAATTTTGAAAACCGACGTTTTTTAATTGTGATTTCTCTACAAAAGTAATATGCGCATTTCTACTGCAGGAAACCCTAAGAGAATTATCAGAATTAAGCACTTTAACCTAGAAACACCTACAAAAAATGACAATATCTTTCACATTATTGATCAGATAAAAGTTTCAAGGGTACCGTTGTGAATCGGGCTGTGCCATCTTTGCATAGAGGGTCATGTTTACAGTCCCTTTAACCCTGAGAGAAAAATATTTTAAAATACCCCTTCATTTTAAAGAAACATAAATGATTCAGAGGCGTATTCAGGGGGGGGGCTATGGGGGCTAAGCCCTCCCTGGACCAGTGTAATCTATTGATTTCAAAGGGTTTTCAGGCCCCAACGGATACTGAGCCCCCCCTGGAAAGAAAAAAATTAAGCCCCCCTTGGACAAATTCCTGAATACGCCCCTGAAATGATTCACAGCGTTACTCTATATAATCTCTGAGATTGATATTTATAAATGACAGAGATTTTTCCAAATATATTCGAAAACAAAGCGACGTTAAAAGGGAAAAGGTTTTGAGTTGTTTAAAGCAATCTTTTGTTCATATAATTGGATTTATGATTGGAAGTTTGTATCCGTCCGATGAACTACATTAAATGCATAACGTTTAGAAGTCATCAGCTAAGATATATGTATTAGAAAAGTATGGCTTTATAAGATCAATGAATTTGTAATTCAATATTATTGTAACTCGTACAGAGAGCCTTGGAAATATTTCGAGATATATCAATTATTTTAGCTAAACAATACAAAAATTATAAATTATATTTCTAAAATTTTTGAATAAGACATTTTTAGAATTAGAAACCGTTTATCATCCAGCAATAATTGATTGATTGATTTGGTTTGGATTTTGACAGTGACCAGTTTTTGCCGCGGGTGTAACTAGCGTTTAAAGATCATTTTCAGCTGAAATAATCCATTACTGGCCACCAGAGTTCGCCAGCGGCTTTTCCATCTAATTAATTAAGTTTTTCAACACTTTCAATGATTTCTTTGATGATTTGAATCCTTATTTTTAGAATTTACATTTAGAATTCTTGCTCAGATTAATTTATATATATTGAGAATCGGAAAACAGTAAAATTCGCGTCGTCTTTGTTTGTCCTTTAGTTATAAGATATTTCTACAGAGCCCGTTCTCTCCATAGAAAGTGACCGCTAGATATCTCATGCTAAATTCTTATCTGATAGATAGATATTTCTCCGTACATTTGACGACCAATATAGGAGACGTCAAGTTGTCGACCAATGTAGTTTATGGAAGGAACGGCCTCAGAGACTTGTGATTATAGAACTTTAAAAAGTTGTTGGTTTTGGAAATAATTTAGTTTTGACAATTTTAAGTCACAAAATCCTTCAGTTATAGCAGAAGAACGTCGACGAAAGTCTTTATCAGTTTTTCTGTTTTCCATTGTATATTCCGCCATGTAATAAATATTTCTTTGCAAAATTTCAAAAAATGTTTATTAAAAATATTTAGAGGAATGATTTTATCGAAACTCTCTTAAGAAACTTCCTGATAAATATTGCCGACAGAAAAATAATGAAAATAAAGAACATTTAATATTTTGTCCAGATTGTCGAATGTCTCTCTGAACTGTTAGCATGTCCATGGACCCCCCCGGAGTTAGTAAGAGATCAAATTATACCTCATAAAAACATCCCTCATCATTATTTGTAAATGACAGGTATTGGAACCCTGATCCAACTCTTTTTACACTAGATAGATAGATAGATAGATAGATAATTGATATATTAAAGAGACATATCAAAATATATTGATATATTAAAGAGACATATCAAAATAAATTGATATATTAAAGAGACATATAAAATACATTGATATATTAAAGAGAAATATCAAAATACATTGATATATTCAATAGACATATCAAAATATATTGAAATATTAAAGATACATATCAAAATATCTTAATATATTAAAGAGACATATCAAAATATATTGATATATTAAAGAGGCATATCAAAATACATTGATATATATGAAAGAGACATGTCAAAATACATTTCTTGAACTGCAGATAGTTTATAATCTTTCCGTCCCAGCCTTAGATAAAGGCTTTAGAATAGATTAGTTATCTATGTAAAATAGGTCAGGATAAGTTGTGTTGGTGAGACAAGACACTAGATACCGAACTGTCAAAGCGTAACTAACCATAGACATTTTAAACTGAAAGCGGTAAATTGTAAACTTGAAGAACTTTTTAAAGAAACACCAATACACCAATACACTTAAATACCATATTTCGGCCTTAAAAGTGTTTTTAATTTATCAATTTTCTAATTCCTTTATTTATAATTCTTGATTTACTCCATAGATTAAGTAAAATAACAGATAGGACACTAGATGTCGTCTTTTTAAGATTTGGATGAAACTCGTTCACAAAAACCTTGAGACAGTCGGTATATGCTCTCTCTGTCTTGTAATTCTACGCCAACGAGTTTCATCCATTTAAAATTCGGTGATGGTGATGGACCAAACCTCTGTAAAGTAAAAAAGTAGATTTCGGTCTGGGTTGACACTAGGGTTGTTAATCGTTTTTGTAAACGATCGTTAAACGATCGTTTTTTGTTTCGTTTTCAAAAACGATCGTTTCGTTTTCGGAAAAAACGACCCACTCGTTTTGAAATTTTAGAAAACGATTAGCGATCGTTTTTGAAAACGATCATTTTTATTAAAACGATTTGCAACCGTTTTTTATACGATTGTTTTCAAAAAACGATCGATTTAAAAACGATCGTTTCGTTTTCGATTTTTCGTCGTCGTTTTCATAACGAAACGATCGTTTTTCTGAAAAATGAAAACGTTAACATCCCTATTGACACTCGTCAGTTCTTGAGATTGTTTCTGTCACAAAGGTTAAAAACAAACAAACAAATCTTGAAAAGACGATATCTGTGATTTACTCATTTGTGTGTGTACAGTGTGTGGATGGTTTGATCTAATTAAACGTCAAAACGGCTGAACCGATTTGACCTAAATTTTGTGTGGAACCTGGGCACTTTAGTTTCATGCAGTAGAAGTAAATATTTCCATTTACCGATAGCGCCGATTGAAGGATTCATAACTCTAATTGGATAATGAGATAGATAGAAAGATAGATGTTTCCACCAAACTATTTCTATTGGTTCAGAATAGGCAACAAACACATGGCTGAACCCTGATTGGATCAGGCGCATTAATGGACACGGCATACAGGAGTGTGGAATTACTTTTGCTTATTAGGAATCCGAACAATTTCTAAAAGTAATATTTTTTACTATCCAAAACTGTGGAGTCTTTTATGGGTTTGAAATGGGCGAAAAAGGTTAACATTATTAATACTAGATAGACCATAAACATGCTGGATATCTATTTCACTATTTAGATATAATGTTCCGTCTTAACCCTATATACGGTCCTAATCCTACAACTCAGAAGACTTTTATCTTTCCTATGAATTCGTTTATCCCTAAAAAATCGAAAAAGATAGATAGATTAGATATAATGTTCCGTCTTAACCCTATATACAGTCCAAATCCTACAACTCAGAAGACTTTTATCTTTCCAATGAATTCTGTTATCCTTAAAAAATCGAGCACTGTGTTTCTTTTAAATAATTAAACTCTGATTCGGTTCAGTTCATCTTATTGAGGAGATTTATATTCCGTCCTTCCCAAATCAAGATCTAAGAAAAATTTTCAAACCTTACTCATCTCAGACCTTTTCCCAACTAACTAAAGGAATTGATTATTTCTCACAAGTTTAAATTGTCCAATTCTTATATATTTTCAACCTGATTTAAACTTTGATATTTCAAATATAGAATTCTTAATTTGAAATATCTAAGGTATAAGACACTGGTTTGCAAAAAATGTAAAGTTAAGAAATCAGAGTTTGTGGTAAAGACTCAATTTATTTATATATTCTCCGTCCTAATCTTCTTCAGATCGGAGAAAGTCTATTCTCCGTTCAGACCCTGCTAAGGTCTGAGAAATTCTATTCTCCGTCCTAACCCAACCTAAACCTGAGAAGGTCTATTCTCCGTCCTAACCCAACCTAAACCTGAGTAGTTCTATTCTCCGCCCTAACCCAACCTAAACCTGAGAAGTTCTACTCTCCGTCCTAACCCAACCTAAACCTGAGAAGTTCTACTCTCCGTCCTAACCCAACCTAAACCTAAGAAGTTCAATTCTCCGTCCTAACCCAACCTAAACCTGAGAAGTTCTATTCTCCGCCCTAACCCAACCTAAACCTGAGAAGTTCTATTCTCCGTCCTAACCCAACCTTAACCTGAGAAGTTCTATTCTCCGCCCTAACCCAACCTAAACCTGAGAAGTTCTACTCTCCGTCCTAACCCAACCTAAACCTGAAAAGTTCTTTTCTTCCTCATAACCCAACCCTGAACCGAGATGATCTATTCTTTGTCCTAACTCAACCCAGAACTGAGATGATCTAACCCAACCCAGAACTGAGATGATCTAGCCAAACCCAGAACTGAGATGATCTAGTCCAACCAGAACTGAGATGACTTAGCCCAACCCAGAACTGAGATGATCTATTCTCTGCCCAACCCATATCTGAGATGCATTTTGTGTCTAACCCAACTAAGATTTTAGAAGATATATTCTCCGTCCTAACCCAACCCAGATCTGAGAAGATATATTCTTCGTCCTAACCCAACCCAGAAAAGGTTGACGGGATCAGGTTCACGGGATTAGGTCACACGATATACACAGGCAGATTCTTCTTTTCTTAAAACCAACTAACATAAATCTTGAAATATACACATTTCACAATATCCTAAAAATGTTCAAACCCCCATTATTCTCTTGAATACACATAATATACAGTAGATTAATCTTGGATGAATGATATGAATGGATAAACTATCCATCATATCCCTAGCTCCTATAATATACCCCAGGAGTATATGTATAGACGTGACCAGATTTCAATTCAAGCGTTTCATCTTGATTCTGCATTTTTATCTCAATACTTAAGTCTTCTAGAGTTGGTCCACAACTTTGGCACTGTACGAAGTAGGGTAAGGGTGTGTATGTACAGGGGTAAGGGTGTGTATGTACAGGGGTAAGGATGTTTATGTACAGGGGTAAAGGTGTGTATGTACAGGGGTAAGGATGTTACAGGGGTAAGGGTGTGTATGTACAGGGGTAAGGGTGTGTACTGTGTATGTATATAGGTAAGGGTGTGTATGTACAGGGGTAAGGGGGTGTATGAATGTATAGGGGTAAGGGTGGGGGTGTATACATAGGGTAAGGGTGTGTATATGTATAAGGACGTGTTTAAAGTATCGCCTGTCTAAACAGTCCTGATATTACGGTCAGGAACCAAAGCATACAAATACTTTTTGTCTGGAAGTCATCATCATTCCTGCAGGCCTGTATAGTATATATACAATTCTTCAATTCTTTAATTCTTCAATACAAGTTTCATCCTCATTCTTCCTGCATTGTCTTCTCTTCCTTCACTTACAAAAAACTCTTTAACTATCTAAACCTTTTAAACTTCCTAATAAAATCTGCCTAAATCAATTTACCTAAAAGCCTAAGCATATGTAGCTAAGAAGATACACCTTAACCTATGAATATACTGATATTAACAAAAACTACTTACACGTCATAAACAATCTAAACTTTTTATCCATCTACCATACTTGAACCTACATTATTTACTCCCGGAGTAACTTAACCCGGAGTTTTCTATAAACTAATAACCCCTGATATTACGCACTGTAAACTTCATTATCAGTCGTCCAGAACAAAATGTTGTGCATCATTTAAAAACTAATTTTGAAATGTTCAATATTTTCAGGAAAAATTAAACTTAATGAATAAATTTATTTATAAATTATATCGTAATGTAACAAATTATTATAAATATTGCCAGATAGGTAGACTCATATCTAAGTATACCAAACCATACAGAGCTGAGGGAGGAGGATCTGATTATAAATATTGCCAGATAGGTAAACTCATATCTAAGTATACCAAACCATACAGAGCTGAGGGAGGAGGATCTGATTGTCTAAGGTATAGGTTGAGTATTCTGGAGAAGGTTGGAAAAGGTTTAATGTTTGAGGGGTTTTGATCGGAAAGATGGTTAGAACTGGATATTTTTGGATGATGGAGCATGGTTGGAAAAGTTCAGTACTGGAGAAGGTTGGAGCTGGAGAAAATTAAAATTGGAGAAGATCGGAGTGTTGGAACTGGAGACAGTGTGAGCTGGAGAAGTTTGGACCAGAAGAAGATTGAAGTAGGAGAAGGTGTAAGTACTTGGTTGAACTAAGAATAGACCCAGAGAAGGTTGGATCCAGAGAAGGTTTGAACTAAGGCTGGATCATGAGAAACTTTAAACTAAGGTTGGATCCAAATAAGGCTTGAACTAAGGTTTGATCCAGAGAAGGTTTGAACTAAGCCTGGATTATGAGAAACTTTAAACTAAGGTTGGATCCAAATAAGGCTTGAACTAAGGTTTGATCCAGAGAAGGTTTGAACTAAGGCTGGATCATGAGAAACTTTAAAGTAGTGTTGGATCCAGATAAGGCTTGAACTAAGGTATGATCCAGGGCAGGTTGGAACTAAAGCTAGATCAAGAGAAACTTTAAACTAAGAATGGATCAATAGAAGGTTGGAACAAAATACAAAGATTGATTCCAGAGAAGGTTGCAGTTAAGGTTGAACCCATGGAAGGTTGAACTAAGGTTGGATCGTGGATGAGTGTATTCAGTGTTGATTGCGACCTGGAGATGTGTTTAGCTCCAATAAACCCCTCCTTTGCATTCAATTCCTCACTGTCCCCTGAATACAGATGAGCACTGCACAGTATGAGGTCGAGGATTAAAAGGATGGTTTATCTTCAATAAACCTTTAATTAACAACTATTAACTACTCTCAGTTAAACATGTCTTTTCATGTGCAGGGACAAGTGATCACTTCTTGCAAATGTTCGTTCACAAAGATGACATTTAAACGGTTTCATCCCAGTATGTTTTCTATGATGTCTGGTTAGTTCATCAGATCTTGCAAACTTCCAATCACATCCGTCCCAGTTACAGGAGTAAGGTTTCTCACCAGTATGTGTTCTCTTGTGAGCTTTAAGATGAGAGCTCTTTGTGTAAACCTGAAAAAAAGAAAATGATAAGATTGATTTTTTAAAGTTTGAAAAGTACAAAAAGTACCAAAAATAACTAAATGTTTTATTAGCGGTCAACTCACCTTATCACAGCCAGGTTCATCACATTTATGATTTCTCCTGTTTGAGTTTGTGACTAGAGGGAAGGAGGAACTATTCATATGAGCTGGAAGAGGTCGTCTTCCTGTTAGAACAGCAGCTGTTTCTTGTAACCTAGCTAGACACAGCAGGTTCAGAGCAGCAATGTCCAGCTGTATCTGCTGGGGGGACAACTGAAGATCATTCTCATTCTCATCATGTTGAACTTTCGGCTTTGTGAGATTAATCGCTGTCAAGGAATTGTTATTGTTTGAATCTTCAGTTTGAATCGATTGTTTTAAAGATTCGGAATCATGTCTAGAATGAAATTGTGAAAATGTGTCAGAATAAACACAATTTTGTCCCCGAACGCTTAAATCCAACGCCATGGTTCTCTCCTTGGTTATAAAGATAGTTTATTATAGAGCGCGTGTGCACGACTACGCATCTCGAGGGCTGAATTGCAACTGAGACTTGAGAGATGTGCCCGTATCGGACGCATCTCCTCCCCGCTCTTCAGATCATCTTCCCGGGTTAATATATCCGGAGTGGGAAAGTGAGGGTTGGGTTGAGACTCCCTAGACTCCCCACCTTGCTCTGCCCTGGTTCAATTCCAATCTACAAGGACGAATACCGAGTCCCACACTCCAATCTTTATTGCTTGCCAATCTTCCGCCCGACATATATGCTCTTCTTTCCTAATAAAGGAAAATTTAGAAACTGAAAATAAAAGAAAGAATGTTCAGTGTGCACTGGTTTATAGCTTTCAGCAGAGACATAGTCAAAGGGTTAAACATTTGAGAGAGTTTAAGACAAACAGAACAAAATAAAATTAAAACTAACTATTTTCAGGTATTTTAACTAACAGCTATTCGTATAAAAATTCTAAATTTTGAATAAAATATCCTGAGATATATGGACACGGAATGTATAGACCTTCTCATATCATGAGATAAATGTATGGGGAATGTATAAACCTTTTATATCATGAGATAAATGTATAGAAAATATATACCCCTTCTTATATCCTGAGATATATATGGATAGGGAATATGTAAACCTGCAATTATATCCTGAGATATATAGATAGGTAATATATACACCTTCTTGTATTCTGAGATAAATGGATAAGGAATATATACCCCCTCTTATATCCTGAGATAAATGGATAGGGAATATATAAACCTTCTTATATCCTGAGATATATGGATATGGAATATATAAACCTTCTTATATCCTGAGATATATATGGATAGGGAATATGTAAACCTGCTTTTATCCTGAGATGTATGGATAGGTAATATATACACCTTCTTGTATTCTGAGATAAATGGATAAGGAATATATAAACCTTCTTATATCCTGAGATATATGGATAGGGAATATATAAACCTTCTTATATCCTGAGATATATGGATAGGTAATATATAAACCTTCTTGTATTCTGAGATAAATGGATAAGGAATATATAAACCTTCTTATATTCTGAGATATATGGATAGTGAATAAATAAACCCTCTTATACTCTGAGATATATGGATAAGGAATACATAAACCTTCTTATTTTCTGAGATAAATGGATAAGGAATATATAAACCCTCTTATATCCTTAGATAGGGAATATATACCCCTTCTTATATCCTAAGATATTTGGGTTGGTATTCAGAATTGAAATTTAGTCAAACGTTATCGTTTTATACCAACTGTAAAGGTTTCCCTATACACACCCTTCTAATGGTATATTTACATGCACCAGCTATTTAAAAATGTAAACTTGAGGTCTACGTTCATTTGCCGAGTAAATACAAAACTAGTATTTCCTGGATTCCAAACAAATATTTCCTGGATACCAAAATCAGTTTTCCTGGATATAAAACTAGCTAACTTTTGCTGAATGCAAATCCAGATTTTTCTTGACTTTTCCTGAATACATAACTAGGCTTTCCTGGTCCCAAAGTTAACTTTTGTATTTTTTTTTAACTAGGGTTTCAGGTTTCCAAAATTAGGTTCTCCTTTTAGGAATAATTTGGTTTTCTTGGAAACAAAACTAGGTTTTTCTGGTAACAAAACTAGAATGTTTCTAGTTGAAAAAGAAGGTTTTCCTGGATACAAAACTAGGTTTTTCTTGATAGAATACCAGGGGTTTTTGGGTACGAACCTAGTTTCTCCTGGATAGATTACTAGGGATTTCTGGGTAAGAAACTAGGTTTTCCTGGATACACCAAAAGGATATCCTGGATTCAAAACTTGTTTTTCCTGAAAACATAACTATGTTTTTCTGGATACAAAACAAGAATTTTCTGGATACACCAAAAAAATTTCCTGGATACAAAACTTAGTTTTCCTGAATACATCACAAGGATTTCCTGGATACAAAACAAAGCTTTCCTGGATACAAAACAAAGATTTTCTAGATACAAAACAAAGCTTTTCAGGATACAAAACAAAGATTTCCTGGATACGAAACAAAGCTTTTTTGGATACAGAACTTGAGTTCTTTGCATAAAAATCTAGATTTTACAGGATTTAAAAACTAGGTTTTACTGAAAACGTAGCTAACAAGCTGTGTACGTATACATACTATGTTCTATTTTTTCTCCATTTGAATTCAAACTTTTGCCCTTGTTATCCTTAATAGCTTTCTTTTGCAAGTTAAGGAACCATTAAACATTTAAGAGGTACACTTTTAATGACTTTTAAACCCAAACGTATCTAGCCCTACCTCTACAAGCTGCCCCCCCCCTCTCTAGCGTAAATATTCCTAATCCAATCATTCGATTCCCTGAACCCTCCCCTTCAACTTAACCGACCAGAGACAAAATATCCCACAGAATGATCAGAAGTAAATAATGGTATGGAGGAAACATTTTTCAAATACCTTTAAAGTTACAATTGTCCAAAATCAGAAACTGAATTTATGGGATGTAGAAAACCTTGAATAAAGAAATTAATATTTTTTGTAAATTTTTTTCTTTTGGTTTTACTAATTTTCTTAAATCTATAAATTTTGTGCCCAAATCTGTTTTTTGGGATATATTTTGTTACTTAAAACAAGGTTTAAACCCTAATTCTTAAAATTAGAAAAGTACAGGATAATCGAAAAAAAATTTATCTGTGGGTTTTCTGCTCCCAAACTCTTCTCAGAATACTCAACTGACGTCTGATGCTTTATGTTGGGTAATATCATGTTGTAAAAAAACATTATTTAAGAATCGAGAATATTAATTTTATGGATATTCTGGACATTCTTTGTCTATGATCTTAGTCCTAACCCGTTCTTAAAACTTCCGTATTTCAGCATGAAAATTCTTTACGGTTCAGTTTCAGATCAATCCATATCCGATGTTCGTATTGAGGTTTGAACCTGGGTTGATCTCTTCTCAAATCATCTGAACCTAAACCTCGACCTCTCTGCATTGCATATATAAATATTAGATTTACTATTAAGTAGATAGATAAGATTAATAGTAAACGAATTAGCAAGGGTTTCCCAGCCAAACAACAAATATAAAAATGAACCAGTTACGCAGATATCTAATAGAAGCTTCGTTTGACGCCATTTTTTAAAATTTAAGAAATCCGTGAAAACGTGATAATTTTCTTTGGGTCTTCTGGACTGATCACGTTATTTACACTGATTACACTGACTCTTCAATTATACTTGAAATCTTTTCCTGATGAAAAAATGAATGAAATGGCTTTGTTTTTCTAGATTGAAGTTGATAATTATCAATTGTGGTTTCTCTGTAAAAGTGGCTTGTGAATTTGCGACCGAGAAAAGGAAGAAAAATTGTGAGAATTCAATAGGTTTTTGATAGCAAACGATGTAAGCTTTTTAACTGTTAATCAGTTAAAAGTCTAAAGGGTACCGCATTGATTCAGACAATGCACTTGAAAGAACTTTAAGTCCCCTTTACCCCAATCCTTAAATGCCTGTAACCCTGTTTAATAGTGTTTAAACCATCAACGAACAAACAGGGAAGCAGGCATAGTCTCCAAGCCAAGGTTTTATATAATCATAGTGATTTGTCTACAAGCTGCTAGGTTTAGTGGAATCCTGAAAACAATTAATCATAGATAAACTATTGTTAGAGTGAGTAAACCAGTCCTTGATGCTCTATGTCCAGTCCAGGCCCCAGATAAAATTTAAACAGCGTAAAATTGATAATGATGGTTCAATATCTCCAGAGTTCTAAACCGAACACAATAAATCTATTCAACTGTTTAGATAAAGTATCAGGTTTACTTGCTGAGAATGGACCCGGAGAACCCAGAGTAAACCTAGATTGAAGGTTTTAAATCCTTCTTTGTTAAATATATTTGAATATACTTTTTATTGTGCAGTGTTGGGGAGAATGTGTGGGGTACACTGTATCAGAAGAGGGAGGGGGGTATAATGTATGTGATGAAGGGGGAGGGGTATACTGTATGGGATGAGGGAGGGGGTATACTGTTTTGGAGGAGGAGGAGGATGGGGGGGGTATACTATATGGGAGGAGGGGTGAATACTATCTGGGAGGATTAGAGAGATGGGGTAAACTGTATGGGAGGAGGAGGGGGGATATACTATATGGAAGGGGGGGGTGAGAGAAGGAGCTATGTAGGAGAAAGGGAGGGGTAGGGGGTGTACTGTGTGGGAGGATATAAAAGATCTGCTTTCCTTATTTCTCGAATTCCCCAGTTTGAACCTGACCTAGAGAACTGCAGGTCAGTTCGATATTTAAAGATGATCCTTAAGTGTATTTTTAACAAAACCTCATTTAACAAATTATTAATAATTTAAATTCAATTGTTTTAGAATGCCTTGGAATCCTGCCCCCACTGCACCACGGTGTCCAGCATGTAAAACATCAGTTTTTCCTGCTGAAGCAGTCATGGCTGCTGATCGTAAACCATTTCACAAGCAGTGTGTTAAATGTGTCAAATGTAAGAAATCTCTAAATCCGTCAACAATCAACGAACACAAGAACCAACTATTCTGCAAGAACTGTTATGATGAGATATATATGCCCCAGGAGTACTGCTCTGGTACCTACGGAGGTATTATTACTCCGGAGGATATTAAGAGAAGAGAGGAGGAGGAGAGGAAAAGGTTGGAGAGAGCGGAGAGAGCTAAACGAGAAAGAAGATGTCCAACCTGTGACATGAAGGTATGCATGTTAATATATATATTATATAATTTAGATCTAACCTTGGTTTTATCTTAGGCTTATCCTGAAGATTCTGTCCAGGTTTCAGAACTTTTCTTCCATAAAATCTGTCTCAAGTGCTCCGAATGTGGTAGGTCTCCTGATGAGAATACTCCAATGATGATGGGACCTAAGGATCAGGATAATGTATTCGGAGAAGAGGATCTACAACCTTACTGTAAATTCTGCTTCGCCAAGAAGTTCAAGGTTTCAGCGATAGATATTGCAGAGATGGTTGCGATTGCTCCGGAACTGGTTGGGATGGGATTGTGAACTGTGATACGGAGTCTGATATGAATATTGTTAGAATCTAGATATATTTGAAATATATCCTGGGAACTTGGTGTATTTCTGAGACAACTTTTTGTATCACGTGACCTAAACACATTCTTTACTGACTTTCAATGCTAAATTCCTATTGTAAAGATGCTTGAAGACTTCAGTACATAGATACATAGTATCCAGGACACAGGACAGGAATTTTTCAGGTCTCCAACCTTCTCAACATCATTCTACATAATTTCAACGTACATATCCTTCGTTATTGTACAATGCACATATCCTTCTTATCTAAGCAGTACATTTCATATTGCACTTCATCATTGTACATATAATTGTTATCCCAAAATGTACATTGTACTTCATATTTGTACATATTCTTAACATAGAATCTCAAAACCAAGCTAAGAACTTTCCCGTAGGTCTCCAGGGGTTCATGAGTTCTGATCGGCCAAACAAACAGACAGACAGACAGACGAACAGAGATTACAACTTTATATACATAGATATATCCTTAATTTAACATGTAGTTTACGAAAACAATATTCCCAATTGCCAATCCCTCTAGCTTTGCAGCTCAATGTTGTGGACCTTAGATATTTCAAATTATGAATTCTGTTGGATCAAATATTCAGTTTGAACTGTTATTAGTGATATAAGGATAAAAATACTGGAGTTTGTGGCAAAGAAAAAAAAAGTCTAGTACTTTAAAATTGTACATCATCCGCTTATCTCAACGAATAAAATAAATGAAAGTAATAATAAGCAAAAAGTGTTTTTAATTATAAAGGTGTAGCATGATCATAGGGAACATACTTTAGTTCAATGCAGCTTTTAACCAGCTTACATTCCTTTCTATATATATATTCCTAGTTTAAACAAAGTTTATAATTTAAAATGTCTTTTCATGTAAAAATAAAGTTTTACAACTTTTAGTTGCAAACAAAAAAATTTTCTTTTAAAACTCATGTAATATTGAAAATTAAAGATTTCTGAGGTTGCAAAGTCGTGCAAGCAATTCTGCGTGAGATGATTTTCTTACATGCATTAAGATTGAAGTAATTATTAAAACCAGTAAATCAAATTTGAATTTTAATATATTTTTCTTCTATACCACTTTATTCTGACGTCCACTGTATGTAAATAGAGAATAAAAACAAATATGTTGGATTATGATAACAATAAGACTTTCATTGTTCTATAAAGTGTTTCTTGTTGGTAAAATACCTAATTATGAGGGAAAGGGAGGGGGTTGTATTTTGCTCTAAAGGAACTGAGTTTTAGCCACAAATTCTGATTTTACAATCGCTTTATCTTTGCAACCTAATGGTGTAACCCTTTGATACTTCAAACAATCATTATTTGATCTAAAATGATTCATAGTTTGAAATATCTATGGTTTCCGACACTGAAATGCAAAGATATAAGGATAAGAAAATTAGAGTTTGTGACAGAAACTCAATTCCTTTCCGTTTTAACCTTCAAAAGTAGGCCCAATATTCGAGAATGTGATCGGTCTTTTTTACAAAGGTTTAAAATAAATCCAATTAAATTAAAGTTTTACATTGTATACTACAGAACAGCATAAATTTCGCATTTCAATGCAGTATTTCGGATTTTTTTTTAAATAGATGACTCTTAAAAGAAGTTAGAAGTCTTTTGAAAATTTTTTGGAAAAGGAATCGAGTACATTTCGAGTTCATTTTGAAAATTAAAACGACATTTTAGATCACAATGTTTTAACGACGACCTCCCCTTGTAGGGGCATTGTACCTAATACCCACTCTATTTAGTACAATAAAACTATGCTTAGTGGATAAAAGCAAAGGAATATATAATATAAACCCTATATCTTTAGATGCCAATGTCGTAGACCTTAGATATTTCAAACTATGAATTCTGATAGATCAAATAATATGAGTTTGAAATATCAAAGATTTACGACGTTGGGTTCCAAAGATATAGGGATTATAAAATCAGAGTTTGTGGCAAAAACTCAATTCCTTTTCGAATGTTAAGCCTACTTTTGAAGATGAAGGTTTAAACGGCATTTTGGATCATCGACGCCCCCCCCAATTTATTAACATGGTACCTGGAGCAACCGGTTTTAGTAAACAAAAGGAAGCTTTAGTAAACAAAACGAAGCTTTAGTAAACAAAACGAAGCTTTAGTAAACAAAAAAAGTTTAATTAAATACTTTTTTCAGAAACAGCTTATATTATGTAATCTGACAAGACATGAACAATGTTTGTTGTGATTATAACATTATTTGATTAAAATATTAATTAATAAATGTCGATTATGTAAATATCTTTTTACAAAGAGAGACCCGTAAAAACAGGAAGCAGAAAGTCAGATTCAAGTTATGATTATTAATAGTTTAATGAACATAAACGCGGCAATTGTGCATTGTAGGCGGACCCATATTCACAATATACACGTCAAGCAAAAGTAAATTGAAATCTTGAAATCATAAAACTAGGAGCGTACGAGAGCATTCGTGTAGGGGAATTTTGTGCCCCCCCCCTTAAAACCCCTTTTAAAAAAGAATATTGACACCTTTTTTAACCATGTAAACTTAAATTTATGTAATTTTCTTAAGGGGGGGGGGGCACAAAACCAGGCAATCCCTCTAAATACTGTGGTGTAAGCTTCAAAGGATGAAAAAATAGATGGAAACGTTTCTAAAAAATTATCTATATTTTCATAGGATTGAAACATATTGTATTATAATTTATGATATCAAATATATATTTACACTAAAGGCAGTAAGGGCAAAAGTGAGATTTTAGAGTATTTTTTTCGATACTATGTAATTATACTTGAATGGAATACATGCGTAACTTTAAGTGACCCTCCATTTATAGAGTGGCATGTCCGATGTACATTTGAAACCTTCATTTCTCCATCGTTTCTGAAGCAAGAAATGCGCGAGTCACTTTTGTAGAGAAACCACAAATAAAAATATTCAGTTTTAAAAATGGGAAACATGGATTTTTAATGTAATTCTTGATCAGACAAAGCTTTGAAGGGTATTGTTGTGAATCAGAATATATTTTACTTCTTTTCTTAATCTTTTAGTTTGGGTGAGTTCAANTAAGATAAGTATGTCTGTGTTGTATCAAAATGAACACTATAAGATAAGTATGTCCGGGTTGTATTGAAATGAACACTATGATAAGTATGTCCGTGTTGTATCGAATGAACACTATAAGATAAGTATGTCCGTGTTGTATCGAAGGAATACTGTAAGATAAGTATGTCCGGGTTGTATCGAAATGAACACTATTATGGTTTGAACGGTCCTTAAAAAAATACAAAAACAGAAAGATTTAGAGGGTCAGTTCAAGTTTTATTTAATATCATTATTGTTATGTATTTACTTTTACAACGAAATTCCATAAAAATTTGTGCTGTCATAAATTTTCTCTTTTGATAATGTAGAATCAATTGATCTTTGACCATTCCTATCTATGAATGTTAAATGAATAAAATGAGATTTGATCATTCCTAACTATGAATGTTAAATAAAATGATCTTTGATCATTCCTAACTATGAATGTTGAATGAATAAAATTATTTTTGACTATTCCTAACTATGAATGTTGAAAAAATAAAATGATCTTTGATTATTCCTATCTATGAATGTTGAATGAATAAAATGATCTTTGATCATTTCTATCTATGAATGTTGAATGAATAAAATGATCTTTGATCATTCCTGTCTATGAATGTTGAATGAATAATATGATCTTTGACCATTCCTAATTATGATTGTTGAATGAATAATATGATCTTTGATCATTCCTATCTATGAATGTTAAGTGTATAAAATGATTTTTATCATTCCTATCTATGATTGTTGAATAAATAATAATATTTTTGATCATTCCTAACTATGAATGTTGAATGAATAGTATGATCTTTGATCATTCCTAACTATGAATGTTGAATGAATAAAATGATCTTTGATCATTCCTAACTATAAATGTTGAATGAATAAAATGATTTTTGATCATTCCTATCTATGAATGTTGAATGAATAAAATGATCTTTGATTATTCCTATCTATTAATGTTAAATGAATAAATGATTTTTGATCATTCCTATCTATGAATGTTGAATGAATAAAGTGGTCTTTGATTATTCCTAACTATAAATGTTGAATGAATAAAATGATTTTTGATCATTCCTATCTATGAATGTTGAATGTTGGAAGAAAATATTTGATGTGAAACCATGAATGTAAGTCATGTAACTAAACAAATAAAAGCGTCCAGGAGAAAAGTGCAAATGCATAAAAGATGTTTACCTAAAGGGGCATTTCTGCTATTTTTGGAAGTGTCAAAAACGCGTGAAGAACCCTTTTTCGATGATAAAAAAGCAAAAATTCATTTTAAAATTTAATCAAAGCTATTCTTTGTACGAAGTGAGGGCCTCTCAGTGTGAAAAATCGTCCCTTTCGTTTGGTTCCTTGTAATTCACAAATATTTTATTTAGTTTTCTCTCTCTGTATGGTTCTCTCTCTCTCTCTCCCAGCTCCCATATGTACCTTCAGTCTGAAAGGTGTAAACTAACAGAGAACAAAATAAACCTTGTTGGAAAATTTAAAGTTTATTCTCCGAGCAAATCTTTCATCTGTACTTTAAAACATCCCGGAGCCATGGATAAACAAAAATCATGTGAAAAATGAATTTTTCAGTCAGTCCTTGGGAGTTTAAAACTTGGTCATCTCACCTTAAAGGAATTGAGTCTTTGCCACAAACTCTGATTTTCTAACTTCTATATCTTTGCAACCCAAAGTCGTAAACTTTATACATTTTAAACTATGAATTCTGTTAGATCACCTGATCTAAGTTTGAAATATAAAAGGTTATACACCATCAGGTACGTTTCTAATATATAGGGATCAGAAAATTTGAGTTTGTGGCAAAGACTCAATTTCTTTGATGACAGTCATTACACTAAGTAGCAAAATATTGTGGATCTTCCTTTTTCGGAAAAAATGTCATTATTTACATTTACCCGAATTTCTGAACCTTATATATCTTTGAAACCTAATTGTTGAAACCTTGTGTAAATATCACAGGCCTGGGAAATCGGGTTGCAAAGATATTGGAATTAAAAATCAGAGCTTGTGGCAAAAACTCAATTCCTTTTTAATTTATTTAGCTCTAATAATTTATCAATTTTCATTAATTATTTTTTAAATTTTCTAACGGTAAAAATTGCGTTTTATTAAGTAGAAACCCCTTGCGATAAATTAAACTAATAATATTGCATTCATTATGTGTTTTTGATATCAGCCCAATGTAAGGTTGGAAATAAATGAAAAATTAGCTTATCCGTTCTTATCAAATCAAGGTTGGAAGGTTCTGGTATAGTCCAGTTTGATTCCAAGTATAGAAATTAAACAGTGTTTCCAACGATATAATACCAGAAAACCGTCTTGATTTATAATTTTTATTTTATTTCTTCCCGCCAACATTTCTTTGTGTTTCTCGCCACAAACTATAATTTTCTAATCTCTATATATTTGCAACCTGATGGTGTAAATCTTTCATATTTTAAACTTAAACTATTTGATCTAGCAGAAAAAATTATAGGGCTGGGTAGTGGGCACGTTCCGACATTTTCAAGCCGTTTCGTTAACGGTTAATTCCAACCGTTTTTAAAATACAATCTCAAGTAGCCGTTTATAGTTTAGATCGGGTTAGAACGAAACTTCGTTCCGAAACGGTATTTTCAGTTTTTTTTAAAGTTACCGTTAGTTAACGATCTCAATTTTATTAATGGCGTTTAGTAATGAAATCGTTAACGGCACAGCCTTTAACGGTCTAGTACAGTATTAACGGCGTTAAAAAAACAAAACGGAATTCACCGTTTAAAAAATTCCGTTTCGTTTTCGTTTTAAACCGTTATTTTTTTCAAAAACGGCTAATCTGTTTCATTAACGATTTAAAAATGAACGGGTTTTACCGTTCGTTAACGGACTCTTCCGTTTATTTTCAAAAACCTCTGTTTCGTTTACTGAACTTTGCCCTAGACTAAATACATAGTTTAAAATATCTAAGGTGTTTGCCGAGTTACACTCATGAATGTGATTATTTGTAGAATTTTTAGACAGAACGTATTAAGAAATGTTCCTTTTTTTAAGTAATATGGAAGACAACAGCCAATTTTCAGAAGAGTTGAAAAAGGTAAAAGGATACGGAACGAGCTAAACAAGAAATATTATTAATAAACTTGTAAAACCGTCATGAACAAAATCGTTAAAACTATCATGTAACAAAATCTAGAAAACTATCAAGTACAAAATTTTAAAACTATTGTGTACAAAATTTTAAAACTATCGTGTACAAAATTTTAAAACTATCGTGTACAAAACTTTGAAACTATCGTGTACAAAACCTTTAAAACTATTCTGTAAAAAATCTTTTCAACTAATATTAAAACTAATATAAATCTTTAAACGATCGTTTACAAAATCTTTAAACTATCCTGTACAAAAGCTCCAGATCTTATACAAATACGACATCTCTTGTCCTATTTGTCTAACCAGTGCCGAACAGTATCAGGAAAGGATTAGGTCTGGTCTGGTGCAAATATCGGATTAGTATTCAGATGCAGAATTCTCACCTTGTCAATCAAAATAAAAATATTTTGAGAATAATTTAGTTTTGGCTGAATATCAAGTCAAGATTTTTACTTTTCTTACGCTCTCAAACAGATTATTGAATTGAGTCGTTGTCACAAACTCTGATTTTCTAATCCCTATATCTTTGCAGTCCAATGTTGTAGACATTTGACATTTCAAACTATGACTTCTGTTAGATCAAATAATATAAGTTTGAATTATCAAAGGTTTACGACGTAGGGTTCAAATATATAAAGATAGAGATTAGAAAATCAGAATTTGTGGCAAGGACTCAACTCCTTTGATATTAAAGGAAAAAGGTGTATTTTTGTATTGATGCTAGATGGCTATCTATTCTAGAAATTCGTAGATCTATGTTTATTAAAAACCATTCTGTGTCAGCAGTAAAACTCTTCTAATTTAAAAAAAACTATAAAATCTGCCAAAAATTATTGTTTCACTGTACACTTAACAACTATTTTTTAGAATGCTGAACTAGTTCACTGGATCTGTAGTGTTCCTGTTGGAATTACAATCTGTATTCTTGGCTTACTTGGCAACTCTGTATCAGTTCTGGTTTGGACCCGGATAAGACGCAGGATGAGAGAAACCAATTCTACCATCAAGTAAGAAGTCTGGAACCCTTTTCATGATACTTTAGTCAGTATTAAACTCTGAAAACCCAGGCTTCAAGCTCTGAATTTGAATATTCCAATGAACGTAAAACACAGAAATTAACACAACCAATTAAATGGTTTTCAAGCCACTTGTATTTTCTTTATAACAATATCAAATACAAATATTATTTATTATTGCTTTATATATTCTACATATTTTAAGGGTCTCACTGTACAAACCCTTTAATAGAAATCTATGTCCTCTAAAAACCAGAAAACTTCTGTCTAGAAACCATTTCTTGAAAATCCTTGTCAAAAGAAACCCAGATCTAGAAACTCTTTGATCTAGTCATCGTCTAGTCTTTAAATCTAGAGCACATCCGTCATGAATCCTAGAAAACATCTGTCATGAATCCTAGAAAACATATGTCATGAATTCTAGAAAACATCTGTCATGAATCATAGAAAACATCTGTTATGAATCCTAGAAAACATCTGTCATGAATTCTAGAAAACATCTGTCATGAATCCTAGAAAACATCTGTCATGAATCCTAGAAAAAATCTGTCATGAATCCTAGAAAACATCTGTCATGAATCCTAGAAAACATCTGTCATGAATCCTAGAAAACATCTGTCATGAATCCTAGAAAACATATGTCATGAATCCTAGAAAACATCTGTCATGAATCCTAGAAACATCTGTCATGAATCCTAGAAAACATCTGTCATGAATCCTAGAAAACATCTGTCATGAATCCTAGAAAACATCTGTCATGAATCCTAGAAAACATCTGTTATGAATACTAAAAGACACCTTTTCCCTACAATTGACCTCTACCAACTATATAATCTATTCAACTCTGATCAGGATGTATATTGTACGTAGTATAGAGATTTATAAATGATGATTCTAAATCTATTTCAGATATTTTATCAGCATGGGACTAATTGATTCAGGACTCCTTATATTCTTCATCCTTCACGACTCTATCCCTGCAGCCGACCCTGGTTTCGTTCACACCTACTGGTTCTCCGCTCTCTACTCCTTCTTTTTCTTCCCGTTCTTCTTTATCTTCCTGCTGTCAAGTATCTGGATTGTTGCTGCTGTAACTATGGATAGATATCTTCTCATCGTTCTTCAGATTAAAGTTTCTAAAACTTTAAACTCACTTATTCTTTTCTCTCTCTTTTTTACAGGTATTTGGGATCAGAAGGTTTGGTTGCTTACGTAGATTAGTAAGATTAAGTTCTAAGCTTTCACGTAAAAATATATAACAAAATACTTTAAGAACCATCTATTTTCTGCATCTAACTTTTTATATCAGATAACAAAAGTTTTTTAATGATTCAATCATGGCGAGATTTGTCCAAGAAATCTCTTTCTTGAGCTTTTCACGATGCAATATGATGTGGGACAACCTACGGATCTCACGTAACGTTCAAAACATATACTCCCATAGCTTTATTTTCAAAAAAAGGAATTGAGTCCTTGCAACAAACTCAATTTTTCACATCCCTTTATCTTTAAACCCTGATGGTGTAAACCTTTGCTATTTCAAACTTAGATTATTTGATCTTACATAATTTATATTTTGATATATCTAAGGTCTCCAACATTGGGTTGCAAAGATAAAGGGATTTGATACTCAGAGTCAGTGCAGCAAAGATTTAATTCCTTTGTTTATGCTCAAGATAAGCTTTATTTATATTTCTCACAGAAACTTAGCTACTTTATTTGTAAACAAAGCTGCAGAGGCGTGTAGCCACCTCAACCCCCCCGGACAAATTCATGTACCCGCCCCTGAAATGTTGTAAATCAGAAGTAAAAAATAAATAAATTCTTAATTAATTTGTTCAAAAGTTACACAATAAATTAAAATCTAAAAATTCCAATAAAGTTTTAAAATTAGGATTTACCGTTAACCTTCCGCACTTCTTCTTCTTTAAACCGGTTCCTGCGGGGGACCAGTGGACCTGGGCTAAAACAGAGTATGCTAAGACAGACGCAGCCTTCAGGTACATTCTTACCCAAACCCTAGCTGGTCACGTGGAATACAACTGTATACTCCGGTTAATTTTAAGTACTAGAGCCCAAAACTTAAGTCAGGTATCGTTAAGAAAACCAGTTTTAAAAACCTGGGTTTCACAAATGGGGTTAGGCAGTTTTGTCAATATCAATGTTTTTGTAATGAAATATTTTTTTTTTCAGTTTGTTTATATTCTCCATTTTTTTCGAATCTCTTAAATCAAAATCTACACAAATGTGAAGACCCAAAATAGGAAACTCGGGAGTTTCGTTCAACGGTACTCTTTTAAATTTCGGGGCCTCAGGCTGACTTTAAACCAGCTAGAGCAAGTGGGAATCTATGTAAGAAAGTCCCGGGAAAAAAAGTTTCTGGGGAAATAAAAGCTGGAAATAAAAACTTTGGAAAAAAGTCCAAATTTTACCAAGTCCTTGGAATAAATGTCACTGGAAATGAAGTCCTGTGTTTTGGATTCCTGGGACTTTTTTTCCTAAAAGAGTATGGGGGCTGCCAATAAAGTCTCAGGAAATAAGATCCCAGGAAAAAAAGTCCCGAAGAAAATAAATCCGAAGAAAAGAAAAACCTTAAATTGTGAATCGTGCATTTTCATTTGTTAGAGGACTTTTTTTCCGAGGACTTGTTTGTATAAAATCATACTGGAGCCAGGAAAAAAGACCTAGAAAATAAAGTCTTGAATTGGTAGGACTTTATTTCCGGAGACTTTTTAATAAAAGGACTTTTTTCCACAGGACTTTTTAGTGTGAAATTTTAGGACTTTTTTCCGGAAACTTTTTTCCAAGGACTTTTTTGGCGGTTACCAGGAAGTTGTACACTGTACAGTATAACGAATGCATATTTTATAAGACAAAACAGAACAGGATGTTAAATTGTGTTACAATTATTCATTAAAATGAAAGATGAAAGATGAGGCTATATTTTTTTTGTAAACTACAAGGCATAAAAGGATATTTTGTTTAATAAACATAACCTGTGTACAGCTTAAAGCAAGTTTTCAACATTTCAAAAAAAATATTTTTATTTTGAGGATCCTAGTTTTCATCTAAAGGTTTTTTTACTATTATCAGAGGATATTTAAGACGAATCATATATTCAGAGCTCGACGCTTTTTAATTCTTAACCCATTAGATTTGTAAACGTTAAAAAACGTTAAAATACATTATCTGCCGTCAGATAATTGGTCGTGTCAGAAGGTTTCTAATCTCTTAAACCTTGACCAATGACAAATGAGATAAAAAGGGGGTTGAAGCGAATAAGAGTGAAACTTATCAAAAGTTCTCGGCTCAAACATTTTTTGAATTTGTTACACTGTAAAGAAACGTTAGATTGAACTGAAAATCATACCTTTTCAATTCTAATAAAATCATGCTTTTTCCTTTCTAAAATCTTTTCAAAATTGATAAATAAATTTTATTTCATGTTTGGTTTGTTTAGATACGAGTTCTGGATGCACTGTATCTTTATCATTTTAATCCCATGGGTCTTCATTGCAGTCCTCAACCTTCTCATTGTCAAATTTATTCTCAAAACTTCAAACAATATTAAATACTTGATGAGCTCCGACTCTACAGGAACTACAGGTTTAAGCGTGAGCAAGGCGAGTCATGAGAAGAGGAACATGAAAGTGGAACAAGGGCTGGAAAGTCCGATATCCAATTCTGAAAAAGCGTTTAATAGGAGACAGGATCAGGTTTGCATAAACAATAATATAAACATGAGTTTTGATTGGTTTCTCTAATACTGCTTTATTCAGAATAACTTTTATTGTATAATTATGCGTGAACACTAGAAAACTGAAGAATAGGAAGACGACATTAAGGAAATAATAACGTTTATTTGATGCTGTTAAAAACCAAATATCTTTACTAGTAACTTATTAAATGAGATATTAAGAGAAATGGGTCTATATCCACTACACAATTGCTGTGTCTCATGTTCAAAGGACTAGTTAAAGTCATGATTTTAGTTTAAAAGTCGTCTTCCTATTCCAGAGTTTTCTGGTTCTCACCGTAATTTTTGATATCTTTCTTGTAATTCTGTATGCTAATATTCTAATCTTTTTTTTAGAACCGTAGGACGACATCTACACTATTGACCGTGACCTTTACATTCTTGATTCTGCTCTTGTGGCAATGTATAGCACAGTGCTTCTGGATGCAGGAATGGCATAAAAATGACCTCCAAAACCCTAAGGTATAATAACGATATTTTCATAAGCTAGCTTGGGAACCCATCTTTACCTGGAGATCTAAACATTCTAAATTCAAGCTAAGCACATTCTCGTAGATCTAAATAGTTCAAAATTCAAAATTTGAGGCAAATCAGTCAAGGGGGTTGTTGAGTTATATTATTATTATTATTATTATTATTATTATTATTATTTTTCTAGATTTGGTTTGCTGTTGATATAAGTTTTGGTATTGCTAAGCTTGGAATTGTTTTCTACTCCAGTATCAACTGTATTCTCTACTTCCTCTCTGGTTCTCTTTTCCGGAAAGAACTGCGGAAACTATTCCGTTGGTCAATCTAAACCTGAACCTGAACCTAACCCTGAACCTGAACCTGAACCTGAACCTGATCCTGAACCTGATCCTTAACCTGAACCTGGCCTGATTCTGAACCTGATCCTGAACCTGAACCTGATCCTGAACCTGATCCTAATCCTATCCTAAACCTGATCCAGAATCTATACCTGAACTTGAAGTTGAACCAACCTGAACGAAACCAAAAAAACACACTTTTAATTAGTTTTCGTTGATGTAACATGCTTTTTAAGCCAAAATTGACATTTCTGAGATTAAAGAATAGAATGCCTCAAAACAGAATTTTAAATTTAAAGCAACTGAATAAACCAACTTATAAAAATATTTTTCAAAAAATCTTTTATGGAAAAAGCGAAATATTTTTCTTTTAGATCATCAATCTTAAAGCTATTTCCGTTTCCGTTTTTTTTTTCACGGATCCGATGAACTTTAACAATATACAACAATGACCTTTTATCAAAATTTAACCTGTAAAAAATAAGCTTCTAGCTTTTTGTTCTTTTTTGCGTTTTAAATGAAAAATAAAGTGTAATAAGACAACTTCGTAAGTTTAAAGCTTTTTGAATTATAGACCATAAAAGGTCGAATTACAGACCAAAATAAGGTCGAATTATAGACCAAAATAAGGTCGAATTATAGACCAAAATAAGGTCGAATTATAAACCAAAATAAAGTCAAATTATAGACTAATATAATGAACCTCCGGACTTGACATGTTTTCCATTTTAAAATTATTTTCTCTTTTAATGTGATTCTGTAACATTGTGCCAAATATTTACACTTCATTTTATTTAGATCTAATATGTTTTCAAAACTATCAAAAATTTAATATCAAAAGTTCTTGGAAAGGGTTGGATTAAAAATTATCAATCAAAAGAAAATTCCCAATTTTGAAATTTTGGCCCCAATTAAAACAAATAAATCCAGAGTGTCAACAAAAGAAAATAACGATTAAAAAGGGTTTGAAATGGTTTATGGCACTCTAAGTACCAATCTTATGTGTATCTTGTGCAGAGATTAAAAAAATGGTTTACCTTTTTAAATCTATGTAATTCATGCATATCATACATGTACGCATTATATTCCATGTGTTTGCGTTTTATAAAAAATATACATATCATATATGTACGCATTATATTCCATGTTTTTGTGTTTTATAAAAAATATCATAAATTTAAACATACTTTATATCATGAAAAATGTTGTTTTTATAAATCACTCTTTAATTCAAGAAGCGCTATAAATGCATGTTGGTAATATTACCATTTCAAGTAATTAAATAAAACCAATTTTGTCTATTTTCTTCCTCATCTTTGTAGTAGAAATCGAATTCTTTCTAAAACAGCTGCGATGTGATTATGGGATTATATTTATGGGCAAACACTTGGTGCGTTAATTTTACAAATTTTAAGGTTTTCATAACTTTTAAAATGCACTTAAAACGAATTAAGTCTTTGCAATTTGAAGGTGTAAAAAGGTATTTCAAACTTTCGAGATGAGATCATAACAGAATTCATAGTTTGAAATATCTCAGGTTGCCGGCATTGGGTTGCAAAGATAAAGGGAATAGAAAATCAGAGTTTGTGGCAAAGACTCAATTACTTTAGAGTTCCTTTCTGACCTAAATCTCTGAACTGCGCGCTGTCCTAATATCCTATGTTATCTTTAAAGGATGAATTAGTTGCAAAAATTAAATTTTGTTCCGTTTAATTTAATCTCAATTTTGAAATTCAACTTTTTTTAAGCAAAAACTGACAAGTGTGCAGTATATCAACTTGTTTATTTTTGACTTTTAAGAAAAGGGAATTTCTTATTTAAGTTAGTTAATACATTCCAGAGCTGGGAACTTTAGAATGGTGGATATCGAGATCAATGTTTGATCCTCTCTTTTTCTTAATCTCGAGACTAACCTAATCTTGGGCTTGTATCTGAGCTCTGAAATTTAGAATGGGATACCTTTAATCCCGGCTGCTTAAACCAAATATCCAATGTGGACACTTTTGATTTCTTGCTTAATCCACTCTTTTCTGGATAAAGTACAGAAAAATCAAAAAATCGGTTTTCAAAATTAGAGAGTCCCTTCCCTTTCTGTATATTAATCTTAAATCTTCTAATACGCGACTCTGATTGGTTGAATTTTTTACACTTTTTAGGGATACAAGTACAAGATTAGGTTAGTCTCGAGATTAAGAAAAAGAGAGGATTAAGCATTAATCTCGATATCCACCATTCTAAAGTTCCCAGCTCTGCATAAGTAAAATATTTTTTCTCTAGGAGTCTGAAATCTTACGTGGAAATGCGCCAAAAAATGTTTTAAAGAAATTAATAGAATTCAAACATTAAAGTTGAACTCAACTTTATAGGAAATGTAACTCATAGGACATGTAATTTTATAAAATGTAGCTTTATATGGAAATGTAATTATAATAATTAAAGATTTAGTACAGTCGTCGTCATATATATCAATACAATGAACACTATTCTCGATTTAATTTTAATTTCTACCTCAAGCTTTCAAACAGCATGGATACACATAAACATGGATACAAAAAGGATCTGTGAATTTGTTTACATCTCTTTGTTTACATGTATACTTGTAATTTGAAACTTGTTAGAAATCAAAACTTAAATCAAATAAACAATTTCATTGTAGTGATATAAACGCTGACCACTGAAAATATTTTGTTTACTACACTCTAATCCAATGAGTTTGAGAAATCTCATCTTACCTAAAATATTTTAATTGTTTTGAATATCTAGAAACAAACAAGTTAATTTTTTTAAAGAATTTAAAATTTTTAACTTTCGGCGCTATGAGGGCTTAATGTCTTGAGGTTTTAAAAAAGGTCAATTTCTTACTTTCCTTTTCCTAGACTTAAACTATAATTTTTCTTTTCAAGCATTTTATAGCGAGTGTTTACGGAAGATGAAAAAGGGTATAATATGAGCCAAAAATGCAGTCAGTGCTACTTTTATTTCTAATCAATGTTTTGTAAAGAGAATTTGACTTAGTTCATCCTACAAGGACCAAACAAGTTTTTTATCTATACGATTGCACGAACACTTCCTGTAATGCTATATTTAGTTTGGGGTATAATACAATTTTACAGGTCAAATTTTTACATATTTTAACAATTAAGGATTTCGGATTTTCAAATATTGATACTGGCAAAATTAACAAAATGGTCAGATATGGATAAATTACAAGTTAGGTTTAAGTTTTAATCATATCACTAGTTTGTGAGGATAAATGAAATTCAAACTTTGAAAAATGTTGCATGTTCTCCAAGGTCAAACTTTTCTCTATTCTGGTTTTAATGCTACGTTTTTGAGATTACAGAAAACATTTTTTTAGTTTAAAGAACTAAAATGTTCAGGATATTTTCAACAGAATTATATTTGTTAAAGAAAACATTGTTTGAAGGGTTTAAAAGTGTTCCACCGGAAACTAAACAGAAGAAGGTCAAATTTATGCATCATTACTTGTTCGACTTTGTTACCTCGTAGCTCCTCTAGTTTTGATGTTTGATGCAATATGAGAAAAGAAAATTTATTTGGCTTCACATATATAAATTGAAAACATTTTATTCTTCTCAATATCTCTACTACAAACGTATAAGATTAATCTCACGTTCAGTTTACTTTAGTTTAATGTAGTTCAAGAGATATTGTTCTGAGTTTTCAGGAGATATTGCTCAGATGTTATGATAGGGTTCAAAAGATATCATTCTAGAGATATTTCTGAGATTGCTGGAGATAATGCTTAAATATAAAAATAAGGTTCAGTGATACATCCTTCAATGTATTGTCCGGAGGGATATATATGGATATAAAGGAGATATATCTAGCGTTTCTGGAGATACTTATATTATTTATTATTTATTATTTTAGGAGATATTGTTTAAAGAGATATTGCTGAGGTTTCTGGAGATATTGTGACAGTCTCTGCAATATTAATCGCTGAAACCTTGAACTTCTTGGCGAAGCAGAATTTACAGTAAGGTTGTAGATCCTCTTCTCCGAATACATTATCCTGATCCTTAGGTCCCATCATCATTGGAGTATTCTCATCCGGAGACCTACCACATTCGGAGCACTTGAGACAGATTTTATGGAAGAAAAGTTCTGAAACCTGGACAGAATCTTCAGGATAAGCCTAAGATAAAACCAAGGTTAGATCTAGATTATATAATATATATATTAACATGTATACCTTCATGTCACAGGTTGGACATCTTCTTTCTCGTTTAGCTCTCTCCGCTCTCTCCAACCTTTTCCTCTCCTCCTCCTCTCTTCTCTTAATATCCTCCGGAGTAATAATACCTCCGTAGGTACCAGAGCAGTACTCCTGGGGCATATATATCTCATCATAACAGTTCTTGCAGAATAGTTGGTTCTTGTGTTCGTTGATTGTTGACGGATTTAGAGATTTCTTACATTTGACACATTTAACACACTGCTTGTGAAATGGTTTACGATCAGCAGCCATGACTGCTTCAGCAGGAAAAACTGATGTGTTACATGCTGGACACCGTGGTGCAGTGGGGGCAGGATTCCAAGGCATTGTTCCTAATCTGACCTCACAACTCGCTGTTCAGGTCAACACTGGGCAACACAAGGGAAAGCTCTCAATATTTCTGCGCTGCTGCGGGTCAGGTCTGACTGCCCGCAAATTATCTAAGAAGGAGTGAATGTATCGCGACATACATTTCATTATGTTTCTCAGTTTAGCCAAACTATAGAGAACTAGAAAACACATTCCGGGAAAAAAACTGGAAATTTTCGCGCATTTTATTGCCTACTAGCATTGAAGCATTCTGCAACTTTGCTCGACTTCAGATATATTAATGTCTAAACCTAAAATGATATTTCACAGATTAGAGATTTAAAAACTTTTAATCAAGTTGTCACCTTGATCTCCTAATAAGCTAAATACTTGGTGCAAAAATCAATTAATATGTTACTTAGTAAATTTTTATCAAATTCGAGTGTAAATTTATTTTTTCTTTTCTTTTTTAAGTTGCCTAATTTGAATTAGAAAGTATGAAATTAGTTTTTATATTTATTTGAAGAATTTTGAAATAAGATGAAAGTTGTAAGATTGATCATATCACGGAGGTCATGCAATTAAAACTAAAAGACGAGCGGAAGACTACGGTTCTCTGTTATTAAACATACCGGGATAGGACGCATCATTCATGGCCAAAAAGTAAATGATTGAGGATTAATGATCTGGAAGGTTGAGCTCCCTCCATGTAAACCCTGATCCTGGTTCTGCAAACTAGTGATTAAATCACAACAAGCCTTAATTATCTAGTCAAATAATTTCAGCATAAGAGTTCCGTCAAACCAGCAGATATTTTACTATCTTTCTAAACATCGTGCTCTCTCTAGTTCTCCGTATATTCTCTCTAGTTCTGCGATCTATTCTCTCTAGTTCTCCGATCTATTCTCTCTAGTTCTCCGATATATTCTCTCTAGTTCTCCGATATATTCTCTCTAGTTCTCCGATATATTCTCTCTAGTTCTGCGATCTATTCTCTCTAGTTCTGCAATCTATTCTCTCTAGTTCTCCGATCTATTCTCTCTAGCTCTCCGATATATTCTCTCTAGTTCTCCGATACATTCTCTCTAGTTCTCCATATATTCTCTCTAGTTCTCCGTATATTCTCTCTAGTTCTCCGATATATTCTCTCTAGTTCTCCGATATATTCTCTCTAGTTCTCCG